TTGTAGAACTTGCTTTTTAAGTCTTGGTTGCACACTCTTATCACATAAAACACCGGCTGCGAGTCTCAATTTCATCCATCCTGCTCCAATACGATGTGTGAAAGCATCGTCGATCTCCCCATTACCTTGGGTTATCGACCCAAGATACTTGAAATTTTCCTTCTTGGGATGACAAGTATATCATGCCCCACTTTCACGTCAGCCTCATATGTTACATCAAGGAACTTGCACTCTAAGTATTCAGTTTTAATCCTGCTCAACCTGAAACCATTAGACTCCAGGGTTTGTCTCTAAACATCCAGCCTATCGTTAACTCCGCACCGCTACTCGTCAATCAGTACTATATCATCCGCAAATAACATGCACCATGGCACCCCCCTGGATGTGTCGCGTTAATTCATCCATCACCAAGGCAAATAAAAACGGGCTAAGAGTTGATCCCGAGTGGAACCCCATCATGACTGGGAAGTGTCCGAGTCTCCTCCCACCGTCCATACATGGGCCTTGGCTGCATCATACATGTCCTTAATCACCCTAGTGTATGCTACATGTATATCTCCATGAAACCTCTTTTGGGACTTTGTTGTATACTTTTTCTAGGCCACCAAACACCATATGTACGCCCCTTTTTCTCTCCCTATACTGCTCCACCAATCTACTAACTAGATGAATGGCTTCAATAGTCGAACACCCCGGCATGAATCCTAACTAGTTCTCGAAAATAGACACAATCCTCCTCACCCTCTTCTCCACCACCCTCTCCCAAACTTTTATAGTGTAGCTTAGCAGTTTGATACCCCTATAGTTGTTGCGATGTTGAATATCACCCTTGTTCTTGTATAGCGGAATCATTGTACTCTACCTCTATCCATCAGGCATTTTTGTTGTCCTAAAAATAAAAATTAAACAACCAGTTAGCCACACCAAACCTGCCTTGCCCGTACTCTTCCAAATTTCCATCGGGATCTCGTCTGGCCCTATCGCTCTTCTCCTACTCATCTTACGCATAGCCCCCTCAACCTCCTCACTTTTATACACCTATCGTACCCAAAATCAGGACGACTCTCGGATGCTCCAAATCACCCAGCATAATATTCCTGTCCCCTCTTCATTCAAGAGTTTATGGAAGTATGTCTGCCATCTACGTCTAATGTGTGCCTTTTCCACCAATACGTTGCCATCCTCGTCGTTGATGCACTTCACCAGGTCTAGGTCTCTCGCCGTCGTCTCTCTCGCCTTGGCTAGACTGTATAACTTTTTATCCCCGCCTTTGTCTTCAAGTTCTTCCTACTATTGTTCAAACGCTACCGTTTTCGTCGATGTGACCGCTAACTTCACCTCCTTCTTCGCCGTCTTATACCTCTCCCTATTCGTCCTCTTGTCCTCCTCATGTTTGCTTTCCACTAACTTTGCATAAGCAACCTTCTTGGCTTCCACTTTCCGCTTTACCTCCCCATTCCACCACCAATCACCTCGATGTCCACCAAAGTTACCCCTCGAGACCCTCAACACCTCTCCTCTCTAGCTACTTCCCTAATGCAACCAGCCGTCCTATCCCACATATTAGTTACATGTAATTTCATGCCAGGAATGTTATAATTGTTGATGCTGGTTGGTAACCTTCTGCAATCCCCCCTCCTCTATCAGGGTTTACCGGCTATTCGCAGCTCGTATAGGCAGAGTTCATTAAGAGTGTGTATTCGGTATTTAATATTAGTCTATAGTTGTCCCCTTTTCCTTACCGGGTGTTCTTTTCCTTGGACGGAGTGATAAAAGACAGTAGTTTTATTCCAGCATGTACTAGGTTTTGTTAGATGTATATCTTTTTCCGCATGGCAGGCATATCTATGCGGGTTTATACAAATGAAAGAACATAATGTGTTTAATATTTTTATTAGTTTTTTTCTTCATCCTTTTATATCCTTTTGTGGGCATGCAATGTTTTGACTTTTGAGTATGCTGATGAGGGCTATTGTGGTTTACCTTTTAACTTAAAACTTGACGTACTGTAGTTCAAAGTCTTTGAATTTTGAAACTGTACTGAAATTAATGTGTGTTTCCCTACCATTGAACAGGAGAATGTAGATGGTGCTGCTGCTGAAGATGCTTCGGATGAGGGTGACAATGCAGCTGCAGATGAAACTGCATCATTCATTGCAACTTCATTGCAGTTGTACAGAGATGCTTTAGCAAATAATGACGATTCAAAAGTTGCAGAGATAGAAATTTCCCTCAAGTCCATAGAAGAAGAGAAAATTGAACTTCAGAGAAAAGTAGCCTCATTGACCGAAGAACTGTCAAGTGAGAGGGACCGGGTTCTTAGAATCAGCGCTGACTTCGACAATTTCCGTAAGAGAACAGAGAGAGAAAGACTTTCTCTTGTGAAGAATGCACAAGGGGAAGTTGTCGAGAAACTTCTATCTGTTCTGGACAATTTTGAGAGGGCGAAAATGCAAATCAAGGTGGCAACAGAGGGAGAAGAGAAAATTAATAATAGTTATCAGAGCATTTCTAAACAATTTGGGGAAATCCTTGGATCTCTTGGTGTTGAGACTGTGGAGACAGTTGGGAAGCCATTCGACCCATTGGTAAGTTTCTGAAACCCGTGCCTCTAATTACAAGTACAGATGTATTCCCACATACATACACATGCTTGAATATTGTAAAGCTGCTTTCTTTCCTTGCAGTGTGATGCTTGTTTGAATAGATAGGTAGATATAAAATTGTATTGTTCAGAGAAAACAAAGTTACACTTTGAGCTGCCATCTTCTGTTGTTCATGTAGTGATGCTTCTATTTGATCCTTGGCTTTAATGCAGGCCAGTTCCCGAGTTGGCTCAAAATTCAGTCGAATTATTGATGAGCTTTTTCAAAAGCTGTCTAACATCTATTCGGTTTTTAGGAAGACCTCGACCTGATTTTAAGCTCAATCTAAATCAGCATTATTTTGAGCCAACTCGGTGAGTTGACAATGTAGAGACTTGTGGTATTCTATCATGAAGGAATGAAACAAGAATTTGTTCCTTTTGACTTGTAAATCGATATAACATTGAAATCTGTTTGCATCACACGTTATTGTAATATGGGGAAAACCTCTTATATAGTTTTATGCCAAAAGATCATATTTTGTTACCAGTGTCTATTTAAGTATTGATTGGTCTTCCCATGATCAGCTGCACGAAGCTATAATGCGTGAGGATTCAGAGGAATTTGAAGAAGGTGTTGTATTAGAAGAATATCGCAAAGGTTTCAAACTTGGAGACAGACTCTTACGTCCTTCAATGGTGAAGGTGTCGGCTGGCCCAGGGCCGGCAAAGCCAGAGACAGCGGAGCCTAAAGAAGAGCAAAACGAAGTCGAGGAGAAGAGTGAGGAAGGTACTGCTGAAACAGCAGGTGATGAAGGGACAGGTGAAGGAGGTAACTAACTACCAGGTGATGATGTGACAAGTGAGGGATGTAACCTGTGATTTCTCTTTTGTACAAGCAAAGAAAAGGACATATTTCCTGGTTTGATTGAGGTTGAGATAGGTTTTTGCTGGTATACCTTTCAATTTTCATTAACTACTGTTTATCTGAAAGGACATCATTTTAGGTCAGTCGGCTTATGACTGCTGTCTTAAACACTATTTTTTGAGGCTTTGGATAGTTGAGGATTCATATAGTCGATCCCAACTAGCTTGGGATCGAGGCGCAATTGTTGTAATACTCCGGAAACAAGAGCGTAATGTCATATGCCAGATGTGACTTGAATTTTTTCTTGCTCTAGCTAAAGAGCTCCCTCCATGCTCTGCTTCTTATAACGAAGAAATTGTTTTATTGGGAAAATTGCACATTTAACTCCTCTAGTTATAGATTAGTTTTCCTTCACGATCATATAAGCTTTTACTTCATACGCTGCTCCAACTAGCACCTAGATATTATTATCGATCTTTAACACTAAGGAATTGTTTAGTAGAGTGTATAAGAATAATGCTGAATATGGTGTATTAATAATGCTCGTATTAGTTATGCTGACATATTTCTTATACATTGTTTGGTTTGATGTATTAAAGCATTGCACAATTTCTAAAAGAATTGTTTGTTTACACAAATACCCTCATAACCAATCCATCACTTTATCTTTTTAAAAGAAACATATGTTGTTTATATGAAAAAAATTTAAAAAAATTATTTGATTTGTCTACCTATATTGTAGTATAGAATCGAATATTTATTTATAAAAAAAAATATGCTAAGTATTTATTTATTTACTAGGGATAAACCAAGAGATGGGTTGAACATTTAATTCAAGTTAATTTCTTCATGATACATAAAATTAAAAAAACGACTTCTTTTACCATCCGATTTGTAGACATATTTTATGTTTTGATAAAAACTGATGCAACCAGAAAATTGTACTTATTTTTGGCAGTAAGATTACAACACTTGTTTAGTAGAAAGAACAATATCAACTATTTTTTTTCTCACGATATCTCTTATATTAGAAGCAACAGTTGGGCTTCTTGAGCTGTCTTTGTCATCAACATGTTTGTCTGGCTATCAAGTGCTTCTCTGGCCTTTCACCACAACCAATGGAAAAGTGAAGACTCTAAAGGTTTAAAGTTGACAATATTAAGGGAAGGAGCTAAGTTTCATTTAATCACTAACATTTTGAACATATCAATTTGATTATCAACCTGGTCTTTTAACTCATTGGGCATATAATTTCCAGCCACGAGTGCATACGTGCTAAAGAAAGAGTATGAGTGAAAATAAATTCTAAATTGCAAGCTATAAGTATGAAATTTTAGCGAAAAATAAAAAAGAAGAAGAAACGAGTGATAAAGTAAATAATTTTCTAAATAAACTACGTAAACAAATTAAATTAATACATGAGGAGTAAAGAAATAAGGTTAAATGAAGTCTAGAAAAAAATTCAGATGATTATAGTATTTTCAGGGACCACATTGACATTCAGATGAAACTATAGCTACCAAAAGTGCAATTCCACTTCTTTCCTCTTCTTTACAGCATATACCCAGTGAAACTGGCGGGAATTAGCAACACAACAACTTCCAAAACCCTCTCCACGTACCCCCCTCTTCCCCAAACTACGGCGAACCACCATGAACAGCGGCAACTCAAGGAAGCGATCGGCGGCACAAGCGGTTGCAACGCCGTCGCCTCAGCAGCAGCAGAAACACCACGCCGCCATGGAAGAAGAAGACCTAGACGAGGACGTTTTCCTCGAAGAAACATTGCTTCAGTACGAAGAAGATTCCCAAATCCTCCGTGAACTCGAAGAGCGCCACGCCCTAAATGAGCGGCTTCAGAAATGGAAACGCCCTCCTCTTTCTCAAGCTTGCCTCTCTCAGTCCCAAAGCATATGTACGGAAATTGTATTTGAAATTTTCGACCTCATGCTTTTTCCTGTTTTTTGGTTAATTTCTAGGAAATTTTTGTTTCGGAAGCTTCTTTTTTGTTTTCCCTGAATTTTAACCTATCTGGTGAATTTGGATGAACGTTTAGGGTTTCTGAAATTATTTTATTTGAAAATAGTAAACTAAGCTAGTTTAAGTGTTTATATGAGGAAGCTATTTTAGTTTAGTATAGGAATTTGAAGATCATTTATATTAACTTTGAGTTCAGATTCTTAGGATTTTTTCTTTTTATTTATTTATTTATTTATGACTTGGAACTTTCTTATATTTTATATTTTCCTTGAATTGTACTACTATAACTAAACCATTCTATAGTAAATTAAGGAATAGAGTTCAAAAAGGTTTTATTTCATTTTCTAATTAGCAATTTTGTATTCATTTAATATCTAAAACAAAAAGATGGATTTTGAAGAGAAAATAGAAAGAAAAGAACCTATTTTGGATCGTTCAGAATTGATATTAGTCTGACATCGCTAATAGATATAAAAGTAGAAACGTTTTGTTACTCCCAAAAGTTTGAAGCCTTTTTGTGCTCTTGGTATGAGGGGCAGTTATTTTAGTTCTTAAGTTCATATGGAATCTTATTAAGCAAGTTTATATACTATTAACAAAAATAAAAAATTAAGCAAGTTTATATATTGGCTTGAGGGCAAGATAGGCACGTGGATCTGTATAAAAATTAAGAAAAGATAGAAAGTTAGATAGTTAGATAAAACAAAAAGGTTTTGAAATAGATCAATTAGTTTCAATGAGTTCTCACTTTCACGATTTCACATTTTATTTGGTGGTCTTTCACAGCGTTTCAGCAGCTGGAGATTGACTACATTATTGGAGAGAGCCATAAAGAATTGCTGCCTAATTCTTCTGGTCCAGCTGCCATTTTAAGAATCTTTGGGGTCACCAAGGAAGGTTTGTCAGTGCTTAATTCATTGCTGCAACATGCATTTGCAACTTTTGTTGCTGTATTATAGTAGAAACAGTGCTATATATCTGAGCAAGAAGATTTGATTCTGGCATGTCAAATAAATTGATAATCCCCTCTAGGTATAAATGCATGTCATGAAATGGAAGTAGCTTGGTTGTTTTACAAATTAAAGCGTCCTAAGGGCTGCAACCAAGTACAATTTAGAACATAGATTTTCTCTCAGCAGTATAACAACAACAACAACAACAACCCAGTATAATCCCACTAGTGGGGTCTGGGGAGCGTAGTGTGTACGCAGACCTTACCCCTACCCTGAGTAGAGAGGCTGTTTCCGATAGACCCTCCGCTCCCTCCCTCCAAGAACTCCCCACCTTGCTCTTGGGGTGACTCGAACTCACAACCTCTTGGTTGGAAGTGGAGGGTGCTCACCACTAGAGCAACCCTCTCTCAGCAGTATAAATGTATTGGAAATAAATATGAGTTGAAATTGCATTTTAGTGAATTTTCTCGAGTTGTAGTATTTTATCTTTTTGCTTCTGGATTCCATTAATTTAAAAAATTGTTTGTGCCATTTCATTTTTAGAAGAAAGTTATAGCTTCTATTTTAGTTTTTTTTCTATGCTATCATAGATGTTAGAAATCAACACAAATAGCTTAAGTGGGCTGTTCTTGCGATTTTGTGCCAATCTTTCTTTATTCTTCACCAGTTGACATTAGTGACAAAAAAATGTGGCCTTAGGTTCAAACGTAATTTAAAATAGTATTTTTATACAGTTTCATAAATCCATGTAGATAGGGCAAGGAGTTGAGTTCAGAAGGAACACAACAACTTGGAATCCATCAAATAATGTGTTTATTGAAGTTGATGTAGCTTGTCTTCCACTTACTAAGAAATGTCTGTTTATGTGCTGGTCAGGAAATAGTGTTTGTTGTCATGTACATGGATTTGAACCATACTTCTACATCAGCTGCCCTCCTGGAATGGGCCCTGACGATATCTCCCGTTTTCACCAAATTCTCGAGGTATGTTGATCTACTCATTTTTATAAGCACGCATTGATTGAATTTTTCACCAATTTGGTATATTATTGGCCTACGCTGCATTTGCTATATTATTCTTGTTGGTTGCTGCAGGGTAGAATGAGAGAGGTGAATAGGAACAGCAATGTCCCTAAATTTGTCCGTCGCATCGAAGTAGTTCAGAGAAGAAGCATCATGCATTACCAAAAGCAGGCTTCTCAGCCTTTTCTCAAGATTGTAGTGGCATTGCCAACGATGGTTACCAGTTGCCGTGGTATGTTTTCTGGTTCCTTCTACCCTCTGATTCACTTATTCACTTTTACTTTATCTTTCTGATACAGTTGCTTTGCTGATTTATGCTTTGTTTTGTGCTTGTGACACGCACACACAGAGTAGTAAAAGTTTTATTGATTGCAAAATCACGTGCTAGGAAGTACAATAGGATGTTATCCGTAGTTAAAATAATCTGATCAATTATGTTATCAAACTAGTGAACTGTACCACTGCGTCCTCCTCATATGTGTTATCTTTTAGATTTCAAAAAGAAATTAACAGACTAAGATATTCATGTTTCAAACTGCAAACAACTGCAGATCTGCTCTTGAAACATTGCTGGTTCCTTTCCTTCCATACCATATAATACAGCTGAATGGTTCTCCAAATCGTCCGCTGTTTGTTTCTCATTTTACATCCAGTCTAGCACCAAAAGTTCTTAGAAGGTCCTTGGCATTACCCATTTCATCTCAAAGTTGTTTAAAAAGAGCTTCCTCAATTGAGCAGTTATCGGCAATAATATGATGTGGTACATTAACCGTTTCATTCATCCAAATTGCTTTTTTGAGATTGTAGTATAATTAGTATGGTGTTTTCTTTGCCAGTTTTGTCTTCTCTTGCCATGATAACTTTGTTTATTGCTTCACATTGAGCCGTAGTTGAGAATAATGTAGTTGCATCTTACGCTGCCTGTGAGATTGCTGCTTAATCTTCTCCGTTAGCTGAAATTGCAGAGATAAATTTGTTCCGGTAGTATTTGGATTTACTTTCTTCAACATAATTGGATGCACCAAAGTTGCAATAAAATAGGACTTTTTTATGATTGTTTATGTTCTAATTGATTTTATAGAATTGATTCTATTATGCCAATCCTTTTTTTCTTCTTTTTCCATTTGATTTAGATGTAAAATGTGGCAGGTATCCTTGATAGAGGTATTCAAATTGATGGGCTTGGTATGAAGAGCTTTATGACCTATGAAAGTAATGTTCTTTTTGCTCTTCGCTTCATGATTGACTGCAACATTGTCGGTGGCAACTGGATTGAAGTTCCAGTTGGAAAATATAAGAAAGCTGCAAGGAATCTCTCCTATAGTCAATTAGAGTTTGATTGTCTGTATCCTAATGTATGGCAGAATATACGATCTAAAGGGCGTATTCTATTCTCTTAATAAGGATCATTACCCTGAACTTCCTTAACATTTACTTTTAGCTATTCTGACTTGATTAGCCATCCTCCAGAAGGAAAATTTTCAAAGATGGCTCCGTTTCGCATATTGAGTTTCGATATTGAATGTGCTGGTCGTAAGGGCCACTTTCCTGAGCCTACTCAAGATCCTGTTATTCAGGTCGAGTCCCCATTTATTCTGTATATCTGGAAAATATATCCATACTGTATACTTTCATGTTGCTGACAAGATTTTAACTTAATTCTAGGTGGCCAATCTAGTTACCTTGCAGGGACAGGATCAGCCATTAATTCGTAACGTGATGACCCTTAAGTCATGCTCACCTATAGTTGGGGTTGATGTTATGTCGTTTGACACAGAAAAAGAAGTATTGCTGGCATGGAGGGTAATCTTTCTGCATAACATTTTATATTAATTGGATACATTTTTCCACCTTTCTTCTCTTCCTTTCGGTGTTTGTGTGTGTGTGTGGGTTTTGGGGGGGGGGGGGGGGGGGGGGGGTAGGCGAGACTGTATACAGCAGTTGATTCTTTCTATTTGACTCCATATGATGGCAGTATTGTTCCTTATAACCTGTTTCTTTTAGTGTGAAACACTCCGTTTCATCCAATTTTTGTTTCACATTGTCCATATTGTTTTCTGCTCCAGATGGTAATGCATATGCAGAAGAGTGAAGAAGGTTTAACACATGAAATTTGGTCAAATTAGAAGTTAAAAATAAAAATATGTACATGATTTTCATGGCTATTTACGCTTACCTTGGCATATGAATCTTGGTTGATTGGTGCTGAGGAGGTGGTGGGACTTTCTAAAGTTAACATGAGCATAAGGTGTTTGGATATGCCATTTTAGTCTCTCATACATTAGTTTGCATGACTGCATAACACTGTTCTAGAATACTTAAGTTACCATAAAAAAGAGATTCCTAACTATTAGTTTTACAAGTAACCAATATACTTTTTGTTTTAACATTCCCTTGACTTGCAGGACTTTATACGGGAAGTTGACCCGGACATCATAATTGGATATAACATCTGCAACTTTGATTTGCCATATCTCATCCGGGTAATGAGCTTCTTATGTTTTTCCATATTATGGCTCCAAAACAATGATATAAGAGCTAAGGTGAATTAAGATGTGCTGGGCAATCTTAACGGTTGCCTACTTAATGTACTTGTAAAAAGGATGGATTTCTTAATTATTGATTGGAGTAAGCAATGAGGAGAACAGAAAGTCCATAGACAGAGGTAACAGAACCCCTATATGATAACTTGCGGTTACTGTGAAGCTGATGGTAGAACTGAAGTGGAAAAGCTTGTTTCTTTCCAGCCAAAAGATAATGGGGAAGGCTAGGTCAAGTTTGTTTTGCCATGTGTATTATTGAACTAGTTAAGACATTTTATCTTCATTTCAGAGAGCTGAAGTCTTAGGGATGGCAGAATTTCCTCTGCTTGGACGCATCAGAAACAGCAGGGTTCGTGTAAAAGATTCAACCTTTTCTTCAAGGTCATCTTATATCTTTTCTTTTGTTATCTTCTGTGTGTTCTAAAATGTTTATAGGTTTCTACTTTATCTGTGGGTAAAAATATTATCACTACAATCCTGTATTCTTTTTTCACTTGGTGTCCGTTGACTATATTTGTATCTAAACTTTGGTCAGTTCAGTTTGCATTTATATGTTCTTCCATTACTGTCTGTGGTTTCTGAAATATGGCATTGTAAACTAATCTGATACGTGTTTTAATCAGCTGCAGCTTCTTAGAACCTTTTTAATCTCTCTCCTTGTAATATGTTAGAAATATGAAGCGATTAGGATCTCTTGTTGGCCTCCTTGAGCATTGTATTATCTGCAAAGGTGGACTTCTAGCACTTCTTAATTCAAATATTTCCCAAAATTCACCCTATTGAAACTCAAAAATCAGTGCTAGTTGTTTTGTGATCATAAAAGCAAATTTCCCCAAGGCTTCACTGAAACTCAAAGATTAGTCAAGGCTAACAAATATATGCAATTGACTTTTGCTTTATAATTTGTGTAGCTGATTTTATAAAAAAGCTTATGGAGCTGTGAACTGATATATGGGTTTATGTTGCAGACAGCACGGGACAAGGGAAAGTAAAGAAATAACAATAGAAGGGAGAGTTCAATTTGATTTATTTCAGGTTTTGTTCATTACAGCTGTATCCATAACCTGTTCTAATTGATATAGGGAAGATCTTCGCCAAGGAAATAAAGTGAATGTCAGTGAACCTGTTATTCTTTTGTTTTGCAGGCTGTGCAAAGGGATCATAAACTAAGTTCTTACTCACTAAATTCTGTCTCAGCGCATTTTCTTAATGAGCAGGTTAGACTTTGCTCATCTCTCTATATTTTCTTGTCACATACTCCTATATCTACCCACAACCATGCACCTTCTGTGAATAAATTTGTACAGGAAACTTTTTCTTTCTTGTCATAATCAGATATGATACCCCTTTGGAAGGGCTATCAAATATACACTCTTGTTTATGTTCAAACACTTTAACTTTTTAACGTCTTTTTTTTTTGAAATAAGTAACAGTATATTCATCAGCATTTAGGGAATGCTGGACACCATATTTACAAAATATCTAACCACAAACACTTGTTCATCTTACAAGGATTACTTGCTAAGACTAATTACAGAGATTCAACAAAATAGTAAAGATTCAGCATCCTCTATTAGGTTTTCTTTACACCAGAAATATAAGGATACTACACAGTTCATCTTAATTCTCTCTGTATAGCTTCTGCTATCTTCAAAGCACCTTGCATTTCTCTATATCCACACATTCCACCAAATACAAGCTGGGATAGATTTCCACCACTTCTTTTGCCTTGCACTGCCTCCTGCTTTGTTCCAGCACTTCAGCATCGCAGTAGTTGACTGTGGCATGACCCATTTCAGTCCAAACATGCTCGAGATATCTGCGACAGTTGTCAAGTCACTTTGCAGTGTAAGAACAAATGACTGTTATTTTCAGGAGTTTCTCCGTTTCCGGGACTCTAAACTTGAGAACTCCGGTTAAGAGTGGAGGGTTTCTGTCCATCTCACCTCTCTCCTCTGCTTATGCTGACCAAGTTTGAGTGTTTCCATATGGGCCATAGCTCATGTATATATAAGTACAACATAAGTAGGCCTTGTGGTATTGGTATGTAATTTCATTGTGAATAGAGTTGGTGCGGTTGAATGCATGTGTACTCGTTAGCTTTTTGTTTGTTCCCCTTATTATTTTGGCATGTTAATTGTGAAATTAATGGCTGCACCTATGTTTGATCCACTAGAGTTAGAAAAGAAAATTTTTGTGATATGCATGAGTGACCCTGAACTTAGTAAAAGAAGAGCGGAGGAAATGCTCAATTTTGTGCCTGAAATATGGGTAAAAAGTATTTGAATTTATTTTATGCAAGTTGCATTTGTTAAATTCTCATCCTTTTCCAAGTCACAACAGCACATGCTTATCGGGGAAAAAGGGTAATCAGTATGGGTTTGCTACCAGCCATCACATGACAATCTCAAGCACCATTCGACAAACATCTTTATATCGATTTAAGTATTTCATATTTGCATTTGTGTCTATCTGGTGCTACTTAAATTTGTGATGTAAGCATTTGCCAGTTGGAGAGTAAGAAGATTGGATGTGTGCAAGGAGGAGTTGGGAAACTTTCCCCTTTTTGTGTTTTGCGATAATATGGAGAGAAACAAATAAAAGAGTTCTTTTATTATAAATAGAAAGAACTCCTCTTTACTCCATTTGTATGTTTGGTGTAAGAGGGATGTTGCATATTTTGTAGATGATCAAATTGGAGTTTTTTGGAAGTTTAGTATTTTACACTTGCATATTTCTTTTACTCAATTTATCATAAAATTTTAACAAGTAACTGACGAATTTGATATACTTCTAGACTGTATAACATCTCTATGACTGAACACTTTCTAGAAGTGGAGTCAATGGCTTGTAAATTCTGGTCCCTTGAAGCTCCATAGCAAGCAAGTACCACCAAGACGACCTATTAAATCAAATTATTCGAATGATCATTCCAAATTGTCATGAAGTGGCCCCTAGGGCTTGGGCTTTGGTCTCTACTGGTAAGACCATAACTTGTGATGTGTGAGTTAGGAGACAAGTTTGGTATTTAAGTGGAGAAGGGAAGATGAGCGGTCCCATTACCACCGAGTTTCAAACCATGCACCACTGGTCCTCTGGGATTTCTCGGTTATAAAAAAAAAACTGCACGTAGCACCTAAGAAATCTGCATGCCCATTCATTGCCCATCATTTGGCCTCTCATTCTAGCTCCGGTGCATTTTGTTTTCAATATTCTCTTTAGCAATAATGCACTTTTTATTATGTTGCAATTTTTTCTTGCAAAGTTTACTTTCAGATTTTTTTCTGGTGGGGCAGGCATCTTATTCTTATTGTTTGAACACGTATTAGTAACATCATGTCATTGGATTGTGTGAAAACTGAAATTTCTGACAGAGGGTCCTGTATTCCTTTTAAAAAAAAATCTGGTTATGCTCTTTTATGTTCAGAATCTGTTCTTTTATCTCGTTAAAAATAAAGAAATAATCTGTTCTTGTTCTCCCTATCCTTTTTGTTCCTATTGAATATACATGTCTTGTTAAGAGCAAGTAATTTTTTCTAATACTACTGCTAGTTCTGCAGAAGGAGGATGTCCATCATTCAATTATATCAGATCTTCAAAATGGGAACTCAGAAACTAGGAGGCGGCTTGCTGTATATTGTCTAAAGGTGTGCAAATTCCATTCTAATAGAAATACATTCTTGAATTGGAACTATAGTGTGCTAAGTTTAGCTTATTTCATAGAACATCTGGTTCCTTAAGATTCTATATGGATTTAGACATGCAGACAGTTTTTTTTAGATAGGTGATAAAATTTTGGTCCACTATTATTTAATTTAAAATTTTCTTAATGCTTATAGAAACACCCCTTTGCTGTAGAATGCTTCACTCTAAAGATATTTGCAAATAAAGAAACCAAATATAGCTTCATCAAGAAGAAACTTTATGATCATTCACAATTTGTGCTGTATCTGTCAGTCTATAATTTCTCTAAGTGAGTTATAAAAGAGAATTTAATTGAAATAAGTGAGTTATAAAAGATAATATAATTATTATAAGTGGTTATGTGCAAGGGATTGTTGGAAATATATCCCTAGTTGATAAGTTACAGGCTTACAAGATTGCTCATAAAGGCCTTTGTCTACTCCACTTGTTGTTGTCTCCATGAGGGGACTCATATATCATCAGCCAACTGAGGATGTCAAAGTCGGGAGCATAAACTTATAGTATACCTTTTAACTTGTAATACTGGAGAAATGTCCCTTCTTAATTCTTATGAAGTGATAGAAAAAGAGTGAAATTGGGGCAGCATGACTGTGTATGGAAGAATGGTTTGTCCACTTCCTCATAAGAGAAGGCAAATACCGTAGAGAATAACCGGACCTAGGATAAATTACTACTAGACCCAATCTTCTCCACTAACCATATATTAGCGTGAACATCTTACGTTCCTACTTGCTCTACTTCTAAGCTCCTTCTACAAGTCCAACTCTTTGTATCTCCAAATTCAGACCCCAATGAGTATCTTCATGCCATAAAATTAGGTAATCTATTTTTAACTTGGTTCCATGTTTGATACAATCAACATTAACCTAGGGCATTTTTGGAGTCTGATGGATTCTTTTTCACAGTGACAAGTGGCATCTACATGAGTCATAAGTTTTAATTGTGTAGATTTTTGAGAAGAAGAAAAGACTTCTTGTATTTATGTGTATTTCTTACACCCCTAAGCAAAGATATTTATACACTAGATCCTATGACTAATTTAGGAAGGGAAATAAATTACAATCAATTTACAATCAATAAGAACAAAATCAAATCTCAATCAGAATCAAATTTTTTCTAATAAATAAGCCGATCAACACTCCCCCTCAAGTTGGTGCAAAGATGTCACACATGCCCAACTTGCAAACCAGTGTATGAAAAGTCCGTTTGTTGAGACCCTTGATAAACACATCAACTAGCTGCTTTTCTGATGACACATGAAACAAGCTCAAGACACCACTCGTAACTTTTTCTTTGATGCAGTGTTGATCAATTTCAACATGCTTTGTTCGGTCATGCTGGACTGAATTATGAGCTATGCTGATAGCAGCCTTGTTGTCACAATATAAGAAAACTTTCCGTTTTCCGGACAGTCTTAATTCGTCTAGTAATTTTAGTAACCAAAGAAGTTCACAGACACCCTGGGCATAACTCTATATTCTGCTTCCACACTTGATCTAGCAAACTACACTTTGCTTCTTGCTTTTCCAAGTAATCAAATTCTCTCCTACGAGTGTCCAATAACCGGATGTAGATCTTCTTTCATCTAAAGATCCAACCCAATCCGCATCTGTATAGGCTTCTATCTGAAGGTGACCATCTTTGGAGAAAAGCAAACCTTTGCCTAGAGTAGGCTTCAGATACTGCAAAATGTGAAAAATAACTTGCATATGAGGATCTCGGGGTTCATGCATGAACTGACTCACCAAGCTGACTGAATAGGCTATGTCAGGTCTAGTATGAGAGATATAAATGAGTCTTCCAATTAACCTCTGATATCTCTCCTTATCAACTGGCTCTCCAACTCCTGCTTGTAACTTGTGATTACTTTCAGTAGGCGATTCTGCTGGTTTGCAACCTGTCATACCGGTTTCTTTCAAGAGATCTAGAATATACTCCCTTTGAGAAATAAAGATTCCTCTTTTTGATCTAGCAACCTCAATTCCCAAGAAGTATTGCAATTTTCCTAGATCCTTGATCTCAAATTCATGTGCCAACAACTACTTCAATCGGGCCATCTTCTCTTTGTCATTCCCTATCATTACTGTGCTATTAACATAAACTATGAGAAGAGTGAGTTTACCCGTTTGATGTCTTATGAAAAGGGTGTGATCAACATTGCTTTGTTGGCAATCGAAGGAGATCATTGCTTTGCAGAACTGTCAAACCAAGCTCTGGGGGGATTGCTTAAGTCCGTACAAGACTTTCTTCAATCTGCACACCTTTTCTTGACTTTGTGTAGTAAGGGTGGCAAGTGGGCTGGTCNAACATCTGCATGCAATGTGCAGAAGTGTAGTATCAGTACAACCGACCCCATGTACTGAGTAAATAACAAACCTAGCCTTAGGTTGAAATAAGGCTGGCAAGTGGGCCGGTCTAGGCCCGGGACCGCGGGCCAAACGGACCAAACAGCTAAACGGGCAAGGACCGTTTGGTCCGGTTTTAGCGGGCCTGATCCGGTCTCGTGGGGCGGTCCTATGATTTGGGCCCGTCAGGCCCGTGACTGTTTAGCCCGCCAGAGCTCGGGACCGGCCCGGCCCCTTAACAGGCCAAACGGTCCCAACGGCTATTTTAAAAATAATTTAAAAAAAAATAAAAAAATATAGCCGTTCGGCTGTCAAAAATAGCTGTTGGCTATTTATAAAATAGCCATTTAACCCCCCCAACTTTGTTTTAATCCCAAATTTTTTATAATTACACTTTTTCCCTATTTTCAACTATAAATACCCCATCATTCTTTCATTTTTTCTTATAAAATCATCAATCTATTACAATCTCTCTAATTTTCTTCTATAATTGCTACTATTGCTTACTTTATTGTTACTAAGTGTATAAT